CTTTTTTTTTTCAAACTGAATTTTCTCAAAACGTTTTTGTAGCTGATGTTTACATTCTATCTTTTGAATCATCAAATGGGGTCTAGATAAAATACTGTTATATATATATATATATATAACAGCTTTATATATATATATATATATATATATATATAACAGCTTTATTGTAATCGTAATCGTAATTCACATTATATTACATTACATTACAATTGGGTTATAGAGGGAGGAACTTAATCCCCATATTAACTATAGAGGTTTTGTGCAGCAGCTATGTTGGATGGCAGGAAAAATAGATTATTTTTCCCATACGAAAAAAATTTCTTTCTTATGCAAAATAGCATCTAATTTCTCCCTGCAATATCACCTCAGGCGGAATCACACATCCAGGCCACATGAATAAAGGAAATGGTCACAAACTAAAGCAGCTTATGATTGGTTAACAAATTCTCCTTGCCAGTAGCTTAGGAAATGAATAGAGAACAGTATGGAGAATGTGTATACTGATGCTGAATTGTAAAGGGTGAACAAAAGCATTTGAATTATTTTACTTTGTAAACATTCACCCTTATTTGCATCAAAATACGGTAATTTCTTTACAAAGTGCAGCAACACCTGCTTATTTCACAATACCAAGGTTTCGGCTCATCCTCGGTGTAAAAACCTGTGAAGCTCACGAGTGACGTAAAACAAAGACAACAAAACATTATAAACAATAGCGTAGAGCAAAACAATACCACATGAAACAAAGAAAACCTCGTTAGGTTTTTACACCGAGGATGACCCAAGGTTTCAATCACTTGAGAAGTCAATAGAGGTTTTAGGTTCTTTTTTTAATTCCTAAACTCAACAGAAACAACTATCACCATTAAACATTTAGAAAACAAACTTACCTCGTACTTCTGGTTTCATACGGAAAGATGCTTTTACAGATTCATGTTTTCCTCCCCCGAAAAAATTTTCCATTGAAACCCTCCGTTTCCCAGATGAAGAGAAAAAAATCGATATTTTGGCGTGAACTGTTCACATTGGCCAACAACTGAGATAACGCTTTCAAACAGAACTGTCTTGGTTTTGTTTGAATCGTCATTTGAAGACCGCCATGTGGCTGCGCCATATTGTTTTGCACTGACTTTCTGAGTCAGTTGTGTCCTTCATTTCCAATAAGGTACGTGGTGTTACTAAACTTACAGATCTTTCAGTAACACAAAACTGTAAATTTTTGGTGTACACGTTACGCCAATAACGATCTTTGAATTCTAGGACGATTACAAACAAGGAATTCAAGATTTGTCCCACACTGAACATGTGGGCGCTTGTGAGCCCGCGTTATTTTAGCAAAAAAGGAGGAAAATGGCGAGGACAAAGAAAAAAATGGGAAAGTTGGCAGTTTTAGATTTTCTCACTCAATAATGGACTAAATTATGGCCTAAACCAATGACTGTGCAAACGTTATTGGCCATGAAGAGTACAACGGAGCTTCACAAAAAATATGTGGTCTCCCAGAGGTAGGCATTTATGGATTATGCTAGTAAAAGTCAGTGGCTCCTGTAAAAGTAGCATATTATGCCAGAAGCATTGCTTTTTTTGGGCGAAATTATGCTAAAATTATGCTCTTTTTTCCAAATTATGCCCCTTTTTATAAAATTATGCTCTTTGAAAAAATTGCAAATAAGTCCAAAAAATACATTTTTAATTAGAAGCCGTTGGTCTACAAGAAAGAACGCAAGAAATCCACAATGAAATTCAAATAAACATGTGGTTCACGTAAACATACACACTAGTACTAGACTAGACTATACATGGCCTACAATGTGACTTCCGGTTCTGGTGCACCCCAGACCCGGGCTCAGACCGTTTCAGTAAGGATGGGCCGATACGACATTTTCGAATCGATACGATACCGGGTACGATATTTACCTTTTTCTTCGATACCGATACTGTGACTTCATTGAAATGAATAGTAAGTCACGTGATCTGATTGGCTAAATGAAGACACCCTCGCACGGTTCTCAGTTCAGTTCTATATAGTAGCATCAACAAGAGAGTCGAACAAGTCAATAATTCCTATTTATTGGGACTCGTTTTTAATTTTCATGAAGAAATGAAGAAGACCGCAATGGTACAATCTTTCTACTTACTATATTAAGCAATCTGCAACTTTCACTTGCATTCATGATCAAAAGGCGTACGGTGAAAGGTTATCAGTCACTGCACGGGTCACTGATAATAAACAAACACGGCTGCACGACTTATTATGGACCGTGCCCCTCAATACTCGATACATCAGAGACTCCCTGGCATACAGAACCGTACAGAGGTGCCATACTTTAGAACTATTTAACCTTCCTCAGTGCTTTTCTCGCTCGAGGTTTTTCTTTAGTAAGCAGGCATAGTAGTTTGCAACTCATTTTTGTTACTCCAGATATGTCCTTGTAATGCCTGGATTGTTGTGAGTTATGGTTTTGTAGCCGTTGCACTGAGTGACTTTACATTTACAGTTAATAGAGTCGGGGCCTATTTCACAGTGAAACGTTGTACTGGGGAATCGAAGAAACTGCCACTTTGACCGGTACACTGCGGCAATCCTATACTGCACGACACACTGCACAAAAATGCGCAATGTACGATCTTGAGCCCGTAGTGTTTTCGGCTACTTGTCAGCGGTTATTCGCGGGAAATTAAGGCGCGGGTAGGTCACATATAGTATCGAAAGAATCGATACTCTTCGCTGGTATCGATATTTTTCGATCCGACCTCGCTATCGCTGGTATCGGATATTTAGTATCGGTATCGGCACGTCCTTACCATTCAGACGCCGCTCAGTAATTCACAGTGAACTACAAATGCTACTACTTGAACTAAAACTTGAAACATCCAATAACGTCACCAATTGCTTTGGAGTAGAGATGAACAATGATCAAATTAATCAAAACGAATATATGAAATTCATATATCTGAACTGCGGTTATAGAAACGTATTTGTGCACGATCCTCGCAGTTAAGAGCACTATTTAAGCAATAGTCAGACCTGAAAAAAATTCAGACCTGTACGGGATTCGACCTTACTGGTTTATGTCAGACTAATTTGATGACCTGCTCCCATTTGGCTTGTTAGCTCAACTGGTAGAGCGCTGCACTAGTATCGCACAGGTCAGTGCCCGTACAGGCCTGAATTTTTTTCAGATCTGATTTTCAATATTGCTTAAATAGTACTCTTTACTGCGAGGATCGTGCACAAATACATATAATGATCAAATTGTAACATCAAAAATGATCCGATAATTATCAAAATATACGAATTATGCTAGCATTACTACTGGGCAGAAATTATGCCAGTTTACTCAAATTATGCCAAAAATTATGCTAGCATAATCTATAAAAACCTACCCAGAGGTTTGGAACTGATAATGAAGTATGAAAGATCCAGTCCCCAGCAAACCTCTCCCCAACCCGTCTCAAATCTCCTCAGGGGTGGAGAAACGCGCGTCTTGCAGCACTAGTATGAGGACCTTCTCGCAAGCTACAGACAAGGCTATCGTCGCGCGTTTGTGCCCAGTCCTTCTCGAGATGATATGACGGAAAACGTAAACAAAAGGTAAAACAAAACACTTCTGTGTATTACTATGATCGTTTAATGACATATTTGTGGTTTACCTCACTCTTCTGAATACAAAACTAGGATGAAGTTTTAGTCTAGTTACAAACAACTCTTAACTCAAGTTACCATGCGTTTTTAAAAATAACTCTGGCTATGTACAACTGAGAAGGCCTTACTTTTGTTGCTCTGCAACAGTTTTTGCCAATAAATACGTTTTCACTCTTTAAACAAGGATATCAAACTACGTATGCAAAGCTTTGATTGAAACTGAAAAGGACGTATGAAAGTATGATTTCTAATGTGAAAGAAAAAAAATCCTCAAAATACTGTGGCTACTTTAAACGGGAAAAGACAAAGGAGAAGAAATCCGAAAAAGTTCACACTATACCTGAATTTCAAACTGTTTCACATTAAGATTCGTTTGATGACAATAAGTTATTTCTTTTATAAATAAGCAGTAATTCAATTGCGCACTCCCCAAACAAAATTCTCACAATAAAGGAAAAGAAAGAGGAAGCCATTTAAAGCGATATAAATGATCCGTCACTCATCACTAGTCATCTAATTGACAAAGCAGTGCAACGCCCCTGTTGACCCAGTGCCTCTCGGGTTTATTGGACGGCAGGTCCACGTACATAACAAAGTTTGTCGAGTGACCAGTTGTGGACAAAGTACCCCGGCGAGCGCTTGTCTTGTACACTGGGCTGGAGTAGGTGGCTTTGGGTTTGAAAGAGGATTTTTCGCCAGGAATGATCCACATCTACAAGCAAAGTGGTTAAGAAAAATAGGGGGAAAAAAAGGGAAGGGAAGGGATTCCTCAAAGATCGGGTGAATACAATAATAAAACTGAAAATCAATTAGTGAGTCACAGAGTCATAGTAAATAAGTCAGACAGACAGTCCGTTAGACAAACAGACAGTCAGACGGACAGATAGTCAGTCTATCGGCCAGTCTGCCACTCAGTTGGTCAGTCAGGCCAATAATAATAATAATAATAATAATAATAATAATAATAATAATGGGAATTTAGCAAAGGACATTCCACGAGGTGGTTCTTCTTGTCCTTGCCTTCTTGTCCTAATTTTTGTGGAGGGAGGAAAACCGGAGGACCCGAAGAAAACTCTCGGAGCAAGGATGAGAACCAACAACAAACAGACACACAAACCATGAGACAGACAGACAGACAGACAGACAGACCGACAGTCATTCACTCAGTTGGTCGGTGGGTCGGTCGGTCGATTGGTCAGTTATTCAGACTCAGTCAGTCCTTTTTACGATTGACTATATGTTCATAGGATAGTAAGTCAGTAGGCTGATGGGTCGCTTTAATGTTCCTTTCTGAAGGCACCCACTCTCCATTACACATAATTTGTTAAAGGATACCACAGGTAAAGTATCAAATAAACTTTTTGGCTGAGATTCAGATACCACCATTTTTTCTCTATCCCAGCGGGCTCCTTCTAAAAACAGGCCCTGAGGAAAAAAAGAGAAAGAAATATACACTATATAGCAAATCAGTAAACAAGAACGAAAAAGGAATCAAAATTTTAGAACGAAAATCAACGAGTAAAAATTCTAAGATGGATCAGTTCACTCTAGTTAAACCGAGGTCAAGGAAACGTTCTGTGAGACCCTGTGAAAACAATCAATCTTCAAGCAAAACATGCCATAAATTGAAACTGGTTTTAGCTTTGCTGATATTTGCTCAATTTAGCATAAAATAGTTTCAGCTCCAATTTCATACTCGATACTTACGTATACATAAACCCCATCTTCAGGCTTGTTTTCCATCTCTCTTTCGCTCTTCGTTACTTCAAACTGGAAACCCACGTGATCAATAGGAATAGTGTACTTCCGAGCAAAGTTTTGGCGGGCGCCTGTCAAAAGGAAATACGAAATAAACCGCTGATCAGCAATTAAAACATACACTTAGTGTCCGATAGATGAGTGACTTGGTTGATTTGAACAGAAAATATATCGATTTTCATTTATTCCTCCCTTCGTAAGGCATGATAGATAAACAGTGTTGTGTCTTGACTCGGAGTCTAGCACGCCACACACTGGGCCAATGCCCTTGACAACAAAAATGACAAATAGATTCACAAAGAGCTTTACCTGTCAAGAACGATTGGGTGAAATAGAATCCAGAGACCCAGAACACGTTAGGCACGCCATGGTCGATCCAGTCTTGGAAGAATGTTAATCTAAGGACCAATTAAAGTTGTAAAATTAATATTTTTCTCGGTCTTCTCTTTTCTAAATTATTGCACACTATCGAGTGGGTGGGTGAGTAGTGGGTGAGTGAGTGAGTGAGTGAGTGAGTGAGTGAGTGGGTGGGTGGATGAGTGGGTGGGTGGATGAGTGGTTGGGTGGGGTGGATGAGTGGGTGGGTGAGTGGGTGAAGGGTGTGTGAGTGGGTGAGTGAGTGGGTGGGTGAGTAAGTGAGTGGGTGGGTGAGTGGGTAAATGAGTCAGTAATTCAGTCCTACTCGCACAGACGAAGGGCTTGAGAAACTCTCTACGGGAGCCAAGTTACATTATCAACTCACTTAATAAAATCAAATTAGAACGAGTGAGTAAGTCAGTCAGTTTATCACTGAATCACAAAGTCCGCTTGTTAGTCAGTTGGTCAGTCAGTCAGTCACTCATTCACTCATTCAGCAAGTGAGGCACTCAGTCAGCCTGTCAGCCAGCCTATCAATCAGTCGTCAGTCACTCGGTCCGTAGGTCAGTCTGTCAGTCACTCAGTCAGTCAATCAATTCGTCATCATTCCTCACCTTTCCAACAGATCAGTGACATAGCTTCCCAGAGGTTTTAGGGACGGATAGGATTTAGCAGACCAAACTGCCGGGACTTTTCCGACCAACATATTGTTAAACACGTCTTCAAGATCACCTGACATAACAACCAAACCCTGAAGTACAAACAAAGTTGTAAGGATTCACTTCAAATTATGGCCTTCATCAAAACTTCTTCATACTAGATAGTCTTGAGTTTTTTCTTTTTCTTTTTTATCACACTAACTGTATTTAACGTGAAGTAGATTTTGAGTCTAAACCAGAGCATGAAGTTGAGTTCCTTAGAGTGCAGCTTTAAATACATTTGCTGAGATCATGACTCACTCCATCATGGCCCTATTACCTTGATAGCCTTCTGTAGATTGTAGAGCGTACTTCGCACCACCTCTGTGAGTCGGTTAAACCTGATGAGTTCTTGTCTCAGCACAGTGTTCATGGACTCCTCGTAAACCACAGGGTACTTGTTCATCACCATCTCTATGTCAAACGGGGGAGGAAACTTAGACAAGATGTCAGCAGCAAGTTCCTCTATCACCTCAGCTGATGACTTCCCACCGCCTCCTGTCTGACGGGGCAGGGTCAACAATATGCTGTCAAACAACTACAGGGAGAGAAAAGGAAGAGGAAAGTTATGCTCAGGAACTCAAATGGTGTTTTGCTTACAGTGACAAAAGTTCTGCACTTTTCAAGTGAACTACTGATTCTGCGAACTAGTAATTCTTATCACAACTGAAGAAATTCTCGCGCAGTCATTGGTCGAGAACTATTGTCAAAAAGGTTACAGACGATAAAAATGACGTACCATGTAACGCAACACTCAGCAATTCTCTCCATGTGGGATAAAAAATTTCTCTCATAAAAGCAATTGCATGTGATATGGACAGAGACGAATTTCCGAAAGTTAAGTTTGGTATACTTAAGGAAATTTTTCAAGAACTTGTCTAGTTGGAAAAAATAAAAGGAAGAAAAAATCTTCCATATAAAAAGCCGGTTTTCGGTTTGCAAAGAAGACGACCTCGAAGAACTACTTGCCGATGCCAAAGGTAACGGCACAAAAGATAAAACTAAGTGGACGATAAAAACGATTAAGGGTAACAGAGTCTATCCATTTCTTACTGGTATTTTATTGTAAAGTCATTGCATAACACCACCACGACAGAACAAACAACAAGGCAACGATCGATCATGTTACGCGCGCATGGTTTTCCAAAAACTTCGGCGCATAAGCTTGCATAAAAATTTCAATGTTATTGTAAAAAAAGAACAAAAAAACAAGTGTTCAACAAAGTTCAAAACTTTGCAGCGAAACCACACGGCTGCACCTTGTGGTTTCACTTTAGTTTTGAACATTGTTGACGTCATTTCTATGATCAATAACGTTATCAAAATAGAAAATTGCGGTCGATTAGTTAATCTGATCTTCCGTTAACGCTTCACGAGGGCTTCAAATAATTCATGCAAGCTTCGAAACTAACATATGATTGCAGAATGTCCTAAGTGAAACTGGTCATTAGTTGACGCACGTTGACAGATGTCACTAAGTTACCTCCTGAGTTTCCTTCTGGTCCTTGGTGATGTCGGCATTTTCATGGAGACCAAACACTTCCGGATGAGGAATGAGAGGTAAGTCCCGGATGTAATCCACGTAAGATTCGTAGTCTCCCTTGGTGGGCGCGTAATATGTACCGCTGTCTGAAAATCTAACAAAATCGAACCAAACGACTCTTAAAAGGGAACAAACTGTACGCAAATCACGGACTGAAAGATTAACCTGAGAAATGTTTTTTCGAGACATAATTTAGATAAACCGTGGTTGATGCAAAATATGATTCAGTTTAGCTGCTTTGCAGGCAAAAATCACTAGCCTCAACATACAATTTGATACAATTTTCAAGTTCAATTCGACATAAACGCTAACCGCCCTTTAACGAGTAAAACGTCTCATGTCAAACACTTGTGGCCTATTTTACAAATCTTTAAATAATAAAGTATTTGTATGAATTGTCAAGTGTATCTTTAACAGTCATATCCATCAAGACTCACCTGTGATCATCACTTTCTATGATCTCATCACACATAAAAATCGACAGAAGGCAAACCAACAATCGACGATCTTTGTCATCAGTCACCCGACCGCCATAATTACACTGCCCAACCAAATAGGTCAGAGCGTCCATGGGCACTTCATCATAGTCGTTTAAAAACATCTAAAAGGAGGAGGAACCTTTTAATTTAGACGCTGAGTATGTCTACTCCGATTGGAGTAGCGTAGTCGACTTTTTTAACAAAGACCACCCAATGGACGGAAGGAACTAGACAGAGTAGGAAGATGGTTATCATAGAGGGCGGGGCGAGGTGACAGTGTAAAATGACACCTGTTTTTCACGATAGCTAGTACATTTTAAATAGTTTAAACAGTTTAAATAAAATCGCATTCTAAAAGCGCCATATTCCAATGATGATAAATCCTTAAGCGCCATCCTTACATCCAGTCAATAGCGGAACAAAATCAATCGCAAATTGTTCACTCTCACCCCCCCTTCAGAGTTCTCCTACGCACCTGAAGATATTTCCTTTACCTTTATTCCCTGTTGTGGAGGTTTCGACACTTAACCCAAAAGCGCACCAATAGTTTAAACCAAGTTTCTGATAAAATGACTATACCTGTAATTGTCTCATACTGATCCTTAAATCCGACTCGTTGAACTCATACGGAATGTTCCACCCCAAGGGACCAAACTTCCTTCTCTCCTGCACCAAGGCGTGGAAGAAACAAAGACCAAACAACAGCTTCTCCCAAGGTGCTGGCTAAAATGGAGAGAAAGACAACAGAAAAACCAACCTTTTAATTGCGGCGAAATTTCTAAGTTTAATCCTTCGACCTGCGTCTTGACCTGAGCGGAAACCCTTTCTACTTTCTTAAATGTTTTGAAAATTCGTCCTTACTATACTTCGGTGTTGTCATGGTTTCTCCCAAAATCTTTTTGATGAGAATAAAAAAACCAATAGGAAAGGACTTGGCTCACCTTATTGCAAGCAGTAAAGAACTCCCTGTCTGAAATGGGGTCGTTTAGGTAGGATCGTAACAAGTTCGAGCGCAGACCTTTTGGAGGTTCGTTGGTCATCTTCACTCCTAAAAAAATGACACGTTATAAACAACTATTGCGTGTTGACTGAGAATAGGTCACGTTCTCTGGTATTTACGTTGTTCTCTTCAGGTACAGTGTAGTATCAAATGGACTACAACGGGTAAAGCACACAGAAACTACAGTTGTCTCCACAGCTCCTCAATAGGAAATTTGGAAATCATTTTGCATTGTTTTATACAAAAGAATAACATATATGTGCACGATCCTTCGCAGTAAAGCACTATTTAAGCAATAGTGAAAATCAGACCTGAAAAAAATTTCAGGCCTGTACGGGATTCGAACCACTGACCTCTGCGATACTAGTGCAGCGCTCTACCAATTGAGCTAACAAGCCAACTGGGAGCAGGCCATCAAACCCGTACTGGCCTGAATTTTTTTTCAGGTCTGATTTTCACTATTGCTTAAATAGTGCTTTACTGCGAAGGATCGTGCACATATACGTTTCATAACCGCAGTTCATATATATGTATTTCATATGTTTGTTGTTTGATTTATCATCTACGGGTTTATGTCGAATTAATTTGATGGCCTGCTCCCAGTTGGCTTGTTAGCTCAATTGGTAGAGCGCTGCACTAGTATCGCAGAGGTCAGTGGTTCGAATCCCGTACAGGCCTGAATTTTTTTCAGGTCTGATTTTCACTATTGCTTAAATAGTGCTTTACTGCGAAGGATCGTGCACATATACGTTTCATAACCGCAGTTCATATATATGTATTTCATATGTTTGTTGTTAAAAGAATAACAGTTTGTTATTAGACAAGAAGGAACTGAGATGGCTGAAGATGGGTGAGTTAATCAAGAATAGCAAGAGAAGAACGAAGAAATTAATCCATAATCCATGTGAATACACTCGCTGCATCGTTCATCCTTTAAAATTTCACTCCCAAGATCTGATTGGTTTTCTCCTTTCCATCTGCTGCACATTTCCTTATAAACTAGTCATGAGAAGTCAATGTTAAATCAAGATAAAACCCTCTAGATGATAGTTTTGAATAGTCTCTTCACCCTTTCCAAGGACGTTGTGTTGAAATGGAAAGGAGAAGTTAACGGTTGATAACGTGGGAGTGCAGCGCACGCGTACACAACAAAACACTAACCATTCTGTAAAATAGAGACAGGGAAGTCTGGTGACGGGTAACTCGTGAGCCATAATCTGAAATCTTTGTGTGTGTTATCAGGCACAAGGACGTCTTCACAGATCTTCTCCAGTTTTGACATCCAGCTGGTTGCTAAGTGACAGTTTTGCAGCACCACCCATGTACCTTTCTTTAGAGCCTGTTCTATCATCCGAGCTGCTATGGGACCCTGAGAACGAGAAAAATAATTGTACTTAAGTAAAGAGGAATAGGAGGGTGTCAGTAGGAGGCAAATTCAAAATCTACGTGTACGTCACTTTGATTCTCTTAGCCTCCTCGTTTTCTACGGTTAGGTATAAAATATATCTTTACTTTAGAAAATCATTCTTTAAATCCTGGACTTACCTGCCCTTGTCCGAGAGATATTGTTTGAATTCTGTTTCCTCCAAACCCTTTGTCACTTGCGAACTTTAGCAGACCAGCCATTGGATCGGCTCCAGGCGACAACACAAAGATCAGAGGCGCACAGCAATGAGAATCATTATAGCTCAGTTGAAGGTTGAATGTGGGCGGCTCAATATACGAACGGCCCATGTTCTCCACGATGTAATCCTGTTAATAAGATAAATAAAGTGAGGATGTCTTTTGATTAGTTTATCTGATTCGTCCTCGGTACCCTGCTTAGCAAACGCTCTACGAAAGTGAAAGAAAGAACAACAGGAAAGAGCAGACGTGCAAGAAGAGCTTCTTTCCGTCGTTGTGCATGTCAGTCCATCTTAAACACGCACAGTTTAACAGGCTTAGCGGCCAAGCGGACCACTTGGCTGTGCGTCGATGTTAACATCATTTGGTGTACCCGCTGTACCAAAATTGCGTTCTACTTCATCTTCAAGGTGGTAAATAATTGTCAGTATGACAAAGAATAATTTATTCTGTAATGCGTTTCTCTCTCTGAAAACGGAAACTCTCATTCTTTGTGATAATAATGGAGAGAACTTGTAAGGTTCACCACACCGAGGACAATACATTTTCCCTTCGATATTAAGCCAACGTGGAAGCACTCACTTAAAATTCCACAGTGTAATACATACCTGGACTGCGGGAACAACCTTATCAGGCCTGAGACAACGCAGAATCACCAGTCTGAAATAACACAGAGATGCTTGTTATACACAGTGCTTATTATATACCCGCCGTATGACCGAGGCGGTTTTCAGCTGAAATAAGCTCGTTCTCTGAGAGAATAATTAGGCGCTTCAAACTACCAGAACTGGACAACCTGACCTATCCAGGGCTCGAAATTCACGCTCGCAAACTTGTAAAATGCGGCGAATGATTTCGATAATCTGCGAGTGAGAAAAATATCCACTGGCAAACGTTTCCGAGTCAGAATCGTTCGTGTTCCCCAAACATTTGAAGAAAGCTGTTCGAACGCAAGAAGGAATGTAGTAACGATGTCTGAGGCAAGTAAAACAGTGGACGCTGAGCTTTTTGTTAGCCACTGGCCAGTGGTATTACACCGAAGTTCTGTGCCACACCTGCACGTTCGCGTGCTGTTGTTGTTTCTTGTGGTTTTGGAGCTATCACTTTCATTACATATATCAAAAGTAACTTTTTCTTCAAGAGTGCCAGTGCCTGTAACGATGAATTTGGCAGTGGAAAAAAATCTTACTAGCCAACCTGCAAGTGGACTAAAAAGTTAACTTTGAGCCCTGCTGTGCATTCGAAAGAAAATTCTCTATTAATTAGAGACTATTTATGGTTTGTTGCTTGTCACAATGAAGCGGGGTGCAGACACACCACGCACGTGACACGTGATCTACTCGTGGAAGGACTACAAAAAACTTACTTGGCTCGAGAAATCAAATGTAATAGAACGAAACTCGCCTGTCTAAACCCGACACAGCATCCCAAGGATCGGGCATTTTCTCGGAATGTGGAGTTGCTGAGTCATAGAATGCTTTCCAACCTGGATCTGGAAAACCTACGAACGAAAATCATACCATGTACAGTTGGCCATGTAAAATACGTATTTGCTGCTGCAAGTTCGTGCAAAACTATAACTGCAAGTTTGACTTTTAGACTGATAACTAGAAGTTATCAGTTAAAACCTGCTAAGCTCTTTGGAGGGATATAACTTGTTGAGAATTTTCTACACATCATTCGAATATTTTCAAAGTAAAAATCATGAACCATCACTATTCCTGCTTGTTTGACATAATGCACGTCTCCCCAACCCATATACATTTACAGGGTAATTCAACAGTTATTGTGAAAAGACTCCAATTACTCACTGTCTTTGAGTCCATTTAGGTTGGGTAGATCGGAGGCCCTCACGATCTCGGACCAGGCTTTCTCGCTCAACCACTCTGAGCACGGGTTTGGGAATGGGTTTTCCAAAGCAACACCTCCAGTTAACAGAAATCTCCAAACTCGATCATCAACTTTACCCCTAAAAAATAAAGATGTGAAAACAGTCAGCTCTGCAGGCAATGCCTTCCTACGATACTGACTCACAAGGCAGCTGGAGCTTATTTATCCCTGTTTCTTCTGCACAAAGTAGTCACGAACATAGCTCCGTCTCCTGGATAATTTGATATTTAATGGCAGATAATTCCCCGCCATTCCTTCCCGTTTATTTGAAAATTTGCTCCTACCCATCCACACCCCTGGAGAGAGAGAGAGAGAGAGAGAGAGCGACATCGTAAAAGTTTAGTGTCTTATGACAATCACGCTCGGGATTAATTCTGGACCTTTTGGTTGGAAGTCGAACGTGCTTACCTCTAGCACCAGCCCCCTCTCCCTCCTCCGAGGTTAGGCAGACAGCCGAGAGTTCAGATTCGACAAAGCTTTAAATATCAAGCGATCATTGTCAGTATCGTAACCTCTACACTCTATTCTCTAATGACTACCAAAAACACGCGCTCTATTTTTACTTTGTTTTACACGTGAAGAAATGAACTAACTTACCTTCCCGTCAAGATGCCGATGGTCAGAGTAATGGAAAACAACAGCTTGTCCTTCTCAAACAGTGAGCGGCACACGTTGGAGTAAACGCTGTGCGTAAAGTGATCGTTCAAATTTTCGATTCTTTCTTCCAAGTCAGCTGAAGGACGGCTGTTGCTGATAGACTGTTACAGAAAAAAAAATCAAAAGAAAATAATTCAAAGACAAATTCAACGAAACGGAGTTACAGACGAATAATCCATCAATGAGAATGCTCGTTATATCACTGCCATGCAATTAAGAAGAATGACATGCGCACTCCATACCTGAAGGTACAGGTTAATAAACCAAGCGAGTGAGTACTGGTACATAGGCTCAATATTAGCCAGGTCCGAGATGCAGAAGAACAATATAGACGAGTGTACTGCGACAGGCTTGTAGCCATTACGTGTCTCGTCTATTTCTTTTTCTGTTGCCGTGGCGATTTCCTAAAAGTTAATGTCGATCAAGTGAAATAGTTAATGTATTAAGGTTCCGGTACACTTTGAACTTAAGGTGGCTGAACACAGTTTTTGATACCTTTGTTTCTTTCACCATTTTCTCTAAAACCCTCGATCTCTCGGTCGCCAAAACTGGCAGCAAGCAGGTTAACAACACAAACTTTGTTTTTTTCGGTAGTTAAGCTGACGTAGGTGCCGTTGCCATGGCGATATGAATAGATATAAATAGGCAATTCAAATTGGTTTTGTTTCTTTGAAGAAAATCTAGTCATTAGATTTTCTTTATAATTTGCATGCAGCGAGCTAGTAACGATACTCACAAGTTAACACCATTTTGCTAACAATTTAACAGAGATCTTTGATTATCCCTTGTTGAAGGTTCACTCGATTTTCTAGAATTTCCTTTGTTTAAAATCAATTTTTTTTCAATACTCCAGTTACTTATTTCCTAAAGTATTTTCGAGCCAAATTTCGTGAAATTCTAATGAGTGGTTCTCAAGAAATAGGCATATTTCCGAGAAAGTAATTTTCCATTCATTCGCAATTTTTTTACTTAGTACGCATGCGCTGCATTTAACTGGGTTCTTTCGGTAACGGCGAAAAAGCTAAGAATTGCTGGGTTCTTTGCACCGTTAACTTTTCCAACATATCTTTGTAATAAAAGATTGAAGCCCTCTATACACTGCGCCAACTATAGAGAAAAATAGCACAGATAGAGCGGGTACGTGTTGAGTTAGCGAAATGACTGCTCTGCATGTCTTTTTTTGCAATCCTTTTGCGCGCGCTGAATTGTATCAGCAAAAGCGCGCGCGAAATCTGTGTTCAGCCACCTTAAGCTACAGGTATCCAAAGACGCGCTGCTCTTACGTAGAAAAAAGCGGAACAGAAAATATCCAGCGAAGAGTCCAGAAAACAGTGTGTTGGCATTCACTGTTAAACATCAAACTTTTAAAGCAATCTTTGGAAACAATCCTCGTTCTTTTAGAAAGCGATAGGAAAGGGACTGCAGCCAAAACAGTTTACACGAAGGTGTATTTATTATGGCATTAAATGAATTATTTTGGCGACGATATGTCAGACAATCTTTCGTAATCTGACCAAAATAAAATGAAACTTCATTCAAAAGTGAATCTGGAAAACTATGAACGTGAGACTGGCTAGCCTGCCCAAACATTTGCATACTGCAGGTCAGATATGTTGCCAAGTAAAATTCAGAATTAGTGGTGTGTGTCATTGTGTGTGAACTGAATTTCTTTACCTGCTTGGCAGAGATTTCTTCGGAAAGAACTTTAGACGAAGAAAGGATTTTGATTGCGGTTTCATCCTCCAAGATATTTCCCTTTATAAAAAAAAAAACCAAACAAACAAATAATTATAATAAATAAGTGACATAGGTAATGAAAAGAAACTATTTGAGAGACGTTTTGCGGAGGTTAGATTTCAACTGACTTCTATGGCTGCCAAGTTCAAATGATCTTGAAATTGAATGCCAAAACATAACCAAGCTGAGCTCTAACAGCACACCCTCGAATTCTTTTTTTTTTTAATTAATGCGCTAATGTGACTGAAGTCATACCGAACGTTCTTGGGTAACGTTCAAAAAATACATCGCCTTTTGTAAGTAGATCATAACATTTAAAAGAATAAAAATATTACCTCAGACGACGACAAGACCTCTAGAATCTTATCTTCGATTTCTTTGAGCTAAAAATAAACAAATAAGTGAAGAGATAAATACATGTACATAAAATAAATAAATGTATAAGTAATTTTAAAAACAAATCCCATTTAACCCTCTCAATTTTTTAAACAAGCTTCGTTTGTAGTCATGAGTATCCTTCACAGAGCGTTCATATCAAGGGGGTTATGGCACTGGGGGTACGTCATGTTGTTTTATAATCATAAAAAACCCTAGGGTAACTAGCGTTTATATCTAGGGGGTAGAGACGGGGGTATTGCACTAAGGGTTACGTTATTTTCCCATCGTTTTCTTTCTCAGGGCCCGCAGTAACTGGTTACCTGCTGTTGCGGTTGCCATACCTTGCAGTGGAGAAGTTAAATAAAATCCCTGGGGTAACTAGCCCCTTTAGTTCTGGCTTCCCAATCCCAATCCCAATCCCAATCCACCCGTTACACTCTTCATATCGCACCTGTTTTTTATTTGCAGCACTTTCCAAAATAAGCTGATTCTTCTTTTCCTCAAGTTCAGGTTTCTCTTTAGCGGCTACAATCCCCAGCAATTGATCTTCCAGACCCAGGGGGGTGATCATGAAGTTCACAAGTGTCACCTTGACGGAGATTTCCGGCAGGTAATGCGGATTACGCAGGCGCGTGGTGATGTAAAATCGGAAGTCACGTGAATACTCGATGCTGTTTTCGCCGAGTTTGAGGTACTAAGCAAAACAGAACAAGAGAGCAAGATAGTGATTGTAACGACTATTTTAAAGCAGGTTCTCTGTACTAGTGAGTTCTTGAGGCTTGCAGTTCTAGAGAGCCGTGCTAACAATGCTGTGTTCAAGCTAAGGGACAAGAGACTAACTTTGCATAGTGAGTCAGTGCCTTTCCACTTGGATTATAACTCAGTGCTCGCTGATTATCGTAAAGAAACTTATCAGAATGCATGGGTAACCTGTGATGAGCTACCTCTGACAAAATGTTTCATTGAGATTGGACAATACTCTTGCATTACCTTAATCTGGGCCTACTACGCATTGCGATTGATATGGAAAACTCGGCCCATTTCTCAACCAATCAAGTGTAAAACAAAAACCAATCAGTTTGTCTCTCGCGTTTTTTAACGCCTTAGACATTGATTTCATTGGCTCCTTAGACAATGATCTCATGGTCTTCTTGTAAAATTTTTCTTCGCTCTGTTTGGCCGATGTTTTTCTTTCTTTCATTTTTTATTAGGTTTCAGTTACAGGAAACTAAATATGCAAGAAATCTGACGAGAAGTCGAGACACTTCTAGCTATTACTAGTTGAGGCACATCCAGTCATCATTTCATGGAATTCAGAAAGACTGATCACTCCTAGATGATAATTTGGTTTTATCAACATTCGCCCTGACGAAGGACTAACGCTCGAAAGATCAACTTTAGGAACTCTTTACGGTAGCTTATTTACATTACCAACTCAGTTGATAAACGGCCAAATTAACTTGATATACTCTCCCACCTACGCAGCACCCACTTCAATCTCAGATGAGATCAGCCAATGATTTATTCATTCCAAAGAATGTTTCGGGTCTTAGGTAAAAACATACCTCCACGCCGCCTTGTTTGAATGTCTGTTTTAGAAGTAAAGGCTCAAGTATGGGATCCAATTCTTCTCCAACATTTTCCATCAACACTGGCGTACCAAACTAAATACACCGAACAACGCGTTCAGGAAACATTCATTATACTTCAGAAAGTTTCGACTACTTTGAGGGTTTGGCTTTTCTCGTGTTACAAAAAAAAAATGGGTGTCTTTTTGCTTGAAACTGAGATGATTTTCTCCAGAAACATAGTTCTTATATCTCCTTTCAATGTTATTGGCCCCCAAGTGAAGTTTTACAAGTCGACTCAAAAGTCCATGCTTAACTGTTTACGTCGAAGGACACTACAAAAAGAGCGGTTTTCATCAATTCGGAGTCATGCCAGCCGGATGCGAAAGTCTAACAGGGAAAAAAGTGTGGCTTATATCACAACTGAGGGGCGACTTGAGCTTGCGCCCTACGTAAGCAACAACTGACCCCTTCAAGTTGCAACTCTTAGTTGACCTTGACCTCTCACACTCACTCCGCTGCTATCAATGAGCGTTAACCACCTTTGGAAAACTTCCTTTATCATGAAATTTAGATTTTGGCGTTGACTATTTTCCCCTTGCCACTGGACCCTTCACATGAAGACACAAACAAAACTCATTCTTTTTTTAACAATTTTTCTGTCCATTCTCCTCTCACCGTAATACTGTTTTCCAGGGTACGGATGTAATTTGAGTCAGAAAGTTTGATCACGGATAGTTTGTTTTCCTTCTCCATGTTCTTGATCCATTTATTGGCTTGACCTAAATGTGTAAAAAAATATATACAAACACAGTTGGATCTATTAACGAATTCTCTCCACATAAATAATGCAAACTGCATGGAAAACCGTGTAGAGTTTAGTTATGGATCTTGAATGTCACTCGTACCTTGAGGGTCTATCATAAGCGGCCATCTTCGTGCATTATCCACAACAATGCCGTTGTCAACTGAGAAGGAATCCACAGGAAGACCAGCAATGTTCCACGCGCGAATCTTTACTGGGCTACCAAGAGTCGCATTCAGAGAGAACGATTCCGAACATGGGATCTTTTTAACATTGCATTGTTCTACCCAACTGAATATACAGTCCTGAGAACGGAGAGAAAAGACAGGAATAAGATCCACTAATTTTAAGGAGTAATTCCAAATATAGAACTTTAAAAAATTGAATATCTCTAAAAAGAGGAGCGGGGGGGAGGAGGGGAGGAACTGGACTGTTGTTTGATGTCAAAGGTAATAAATTGGCAGTATTTCAGACACCTTTCGAGAAGAACGGCATTACTCCACATCCCTTAGTAAACTTTTTAAATTGACCTTCTGATTTCACAGAAACCCAACTTAACTTTGGTTCTAGCGAGCTGATACGCAACAGAGATCACAGAGTCGCACAAAATGAAACATGTTTGTGAGCTGTTTTTTTTTTTTGCGTGCTTTAAACGGGGTTTTCTTCAACATGGTTTAACTTACGTTCCTAAAGTCGACTGTGAAAGGGCCCAGGTATGCCACTACCCCTGAAGACAGAAGTACATCACCAGTGATCCTGTCATATCTCTCACCCAGCACCCGCGCTGCTTCCGTCCAGCGGTCTTTCTCGCCTCCCAGTCCTCCAATCAGTTTTTCCGCTCGGTCCAGCTTCTGCTCGCAGATCAGAATGTTGGCCTCCAATTCCTTCTTCTTGTTGGTCATCGCGTCAAATTCGTCATTCAGCGCTTGAAGTTTATCGACAACCTTCGCAAGAAAGAGAGTCGAAAAAGTTATCAACGAATAATGGTGAACGGTAATCAGACGGTCCTTCCAGGAGCCAATAGGAACGATGCAAAGTAACACAGCTTTCACTATGAATTGTTCTATGAAGGAATTCGATCGAAAAAACGTACATGGCGTTATGTTACGCTTTAAAAAAATAGTCACCGGCTAATTGTTGCAAAAATAGATGCTTTTGAAAAGGACGATCAAGATCAAGAATTTATCCAACAGAAAGAAAATTCTGTTGTACAAAAGTACATTAATTAACAGCTATTCACCAAAGAGGAGGTAACTAGTGCTGGATAGTATATACAGCTCTGCTGTAAACATTGAGATAATGTAGCTCAAAAATACTATTTTGACTTTTTTTGGGGGCGCAAATCGCGAGTTTCTCGGAGTTTGAGTAGCCAATCAGAGCGCGCCTTCAACGCTATCCACTGTTTCAGAATATACTAAAAGAAAATAGTGCAAGTGTACGATAACGCAGGGCGAACCATTCAAAGTGAGGTGTTCACGAGATTTCTTTTTCATTGGAGGCCAACGTATCGATTTTTATGTTATTTAGAACTCGGCAATAAACCAACCTCTTTCAGCTGAGCTCGCTTGGCGTTTAATTTCTCCATTTGCACGGAAAGTTCGGCCTCTGCTTCAGCAAGCTTTATCTTCTTGGGTGCGACAACCTACCAAAAAAAAAAAAAATACTGCATATCATAGAAGTCAACAGGCTTGGAACAGACTGCGTTACTTCAGGATGATATCTTCCCACCCACAGAGAACAGCAAAATTATTTTCATAAGGGAAAAAGTACTATGATAGTGCTTGGTGACGTTACATGAGAGTCTGGTAAGTAATTTCCTTTATTCCCTTAATGATTTGTTTGAAACTGAAAACGCGCAGCACCAACAAAGCATAGTGTTGATCTAAGGGCTTTAGTGGAACATCTTAAGGAGCGTACCTTCGCAACTCTTTCGTAAACTTCCATAGCGCGAACCCATCTACATAATCCTTCGCAAGCTGAGGAGACTGAGCGAATGTTATTGGGGTCAAAATCAGGATTAGTTACATATCTGAAAAGAACGAAAGCAAAGAGACATGTAATTTAGTTCCTGACAGAGTTCTTGAAGGGAAGATGTAATAAAAGGTTATGATCAATTTGGGCTGTGCCCATCCAAACTTCAGCCTGGAACTACAGAAAACTAAAAGAAACATAGAAAAGGCGATATGGCGATAATACATGCAAAACTGGAGGATAGAATAAGAGTATGTTCCGTTAAACGCAAATACGTTTCAATTTGTACAAAGTTTCGCTGATCATTAGAACGCTTGGAAATTAATTTTGTAATAAAAACGTGATTTTGAAAATATACGATTAAAGATCCGCTGAAATAAATTCAGAGTTTAAACGTCATAAATAAAGCAGGAACGGAAATGCTTTCTTACTAACGAAGTCAAATAAAGGAAGCAAAGCTGAAGACACCCAACTCACTTATCTCTGATCTTTTTAATAATGGCTGCTGGAATGTTATCCTTGTCGTAAACTTTCAAAGACTCCAAAAATTTCATGTCTCCCAGCATCTTCTGAGAAGGTCCCCAGTAGTCTTCTACCATTCGTCCCGAGCCCGAGGGATCAGGTTTTCTTTCGGGTTTAAGGCCTTTCATGATGCATACAGCTTCCATGACCAGTTTCACTGCAGCAGGTGGGTTCTAAAAATTTAAGCACGCCATGCGTTAGTGCAAGTCAAAGGGTGTCAAGACGAAATCATGTCAAAAATGTGAAATACATTAAGAACCAGTCAGAACTTGATAAATTATGGTAAACCAGGGTACTGATGTTTAACATACAATTAAGCTAACCCAATGCTTGTGTGAAGTTTGAACTTCAAATGACATTGCTTTGCTATAGACGATGTTACTGTTAAAACGTATTCCAGTTTATGCCTTCAGTCAAGATAATACCTCACCGATAGTTGTACTGAGCGCTTTCATTGGCAGAAGTCTAAACCAAGATCCATTTATAATCCTGAAATAGTGCTTACTACCTTCATAGTAATCAAGTGACACAAGTCTTCATTACTTAACATTTTTACTGGTTTGAAAGCACACATTCTCTGTTTCGTTGGTGCAATTTAACTTAAATGTCATGGCTGGATGAAGAACCACATTTAATGCAAACACAAACAACAGTGATGATATTTTCACCCAGAAATTGACATTACCTTCATGGTTTTAACCATGCTAATGTCGCTTGGTTTGAGTGTGTTCAGGGCCTGCATGGCCGCCTCTAGCGCCGGCATGGCTTCTGCCAAATCACTCTCGCATTCCTCCTTTATTCCTTTTGCTACAGCAGCTGCTTCACTGGCTACTGCCTCGTCAGCTGCTACAACCTAACAGATCAAAAGAAAAAAATAAATCGTAAATATTACTTCATAAAAAGAAATGCCAGGCTAATAACCCTTATTTATTATGTTGGGCCGTAAATTCAAGCAGGAAAACTCGGTCCGTGACTTAGAATACGGTTAGTACAGTGAAATACGGCCTGCTAAATTGACCAAACTCGCGCAAGTTCGAACTGACAGATATTATAAGGTAACTTAGTGACAGGTTCACAATTCATTCCTACAAAATCAAAATAGGAAACCCGATGCCAAAATTGTCATTTATATCATGAAAAAAATATGAAAGAAAGATTATTCGCTGACGGTAAGCACGATAAAGATGTACGGCAATTTAGGAAAACTGATAATTAACAAGAAAATCAGAACATTAAAAAGTAAACCATTACGACCTCACCTCTTTCTTGGCTTCAACTTCAACAGTATCCTGTTCAATTTTTACCATCAGTTTTTCCGTTTCCGCTGAGGTCTTGATGAGCTCTGGTTGCAGATCACTGAGCTCTTGTTGCATGACGGATACTTGGGAGGAAGCGAAGTCCAACTTCTCCAAACCTGTGACGTAACGCTGTTTGAGTGTCATTATTTCTTGTCGTTTGATGTCCAAGAGTTTCTTGAACGTCATGATGAGTTCAAGATAAGACGTAGGCGTGACGTAATTACGGCGTCTTAGAGAGTCGTAAAAGCTGTGGAAAGACATAAGATGAAAAACTGTTGATCAAATCTGTAACATACAGCTGACTCGTCCAAATGCCTACTAAATACTGCAGGTTTCACATTCTCCCACACCAGTGGAAGACGCAATGGTCTTATGGTTAGTGCTCTTGGCTGCGGGTTTAGAGGTCAAGGTTCGACACCTGGCCGAGTCAATATGTTGTGCTCTGAGGCGAAACGCTATGTTGTCACAATGCCTCTCTCCACCAAGGAGTGTTAATGAGAACTTGCGAATTGTCAGGGAACCCTGATGAAATGCTGTAGGGTCACTTTGCGATGGACTAGCATTCCACACTGGGAGGAGTGGGGAGACTGGGAGACTTGATTCGAGTACAAAATCTTTAGAACACACCTTTACGTTAACGTATGTCCATTTCCATTTACCTAGTATTGTCTCATAACTGATATTATAATACTCCGCGTGCTCAAATTGGTCGGGCAAAAACCTATTGCTAATTGAAAACAAACAACCAATGGCTGCTTTAAAAGACAACGAAAAAGCTCTTTCTTTGGTTTACCGGCGTAAGAGACCAAGAGACCTCTTCAATAGCTTGTTTATCTGTTTCCCTGTTTCAGGCTCAGGTTTATCTTTAGTAAATTATGCGTGCAAATGCACGAGAATAAGAGGAAATTTGAAAGAAAGTGCGTTTTTTACTAAACTAAGCTGAAGTTAATCATTACAAAGCTATATTTCAAGTTAAATCCTGACGATGAAAACTTTGTCAGCTACCCGAACTAGGTGCAACACCCTCACCTGTCTGATAATTCTCTGACACTCTCATGGAAATACTTGCACATGTACACACATTTTTTACGAACTTCGTGGGCCATGTCCACTTCTTCAAGAAATTTGTTGGCCACCATCTCCAGTGCGTCTTCCGGCCATGCCTGGGACACACAAAGACATAATTTGTTACAAGAATCCAAACAATTACATTGTAGATCTTTCATTCGCTAACTTTTGACAGATATGGTGCTCAGTATCACGCTGTATTCATTACTTACGTTGTTTGCACTTTGACGAACCCTTGACTTCAAAAAAACAAGTATCTATTCAGCGAGGATATCTGATGCAATTACCTGGAACCAGTCGATAGTACAACAGTTGATGAGTGAAGGAAACATTCGCATTCGGCTTCTGAAAGCATCACCAATGGGACTCATAGCCAATACCACATGAAGATTCGCACGGACTCGCTCGATAAAGAAGTTGTACATCGCCAGCGGGGTAGCGTCGATTTTACGGCCCTGCAAGAAAAAAAAAAAAAATATGTGAGTTACAAACATTTGCAAATAAGGTGCCACTCACTTTAAAAAGGTTGTTCGCTGTATTGCGAGGAAAACTCGTTTGATTCCGACGCGCGCCAAAAGCAATCATTGTAAGAAAATTATCGACGCAGTTTTCTTTGAATTCAGAGCTTCCTTCTTTCTTGTCTTTCTTCTTCTTTCCAAATCTTTGTTAAAATAAAAAATGCGTTTTATAGAATAGCAAGGTAGTTTCAGTGAGGCGGTCGCCAACGCAGCGATGATTTGATACACGTTAGCTTTGAGATGAAAAAGTAAGCTTCTGATCGGCTGTTTTTCACCCAAACTTGTTGCTAGTGGAGAAAAACGGATTTGACTGACATCATAATCATCAATTGTAACGACATCTGCACACGTCAGCTCTAGTGCAGACTTCAATGCGCGCGCATGCGTTTTACTTGTGGTCTTTGTGCGTTTCTGTACACACTTCGTGTTCAGTGATTTACAAAAGTTTTGTCAGCAGAAAATCAAACGTAATAATTATTTTGGATACCCAAACATAAAAAAAGATTATGAAAGACCATTTCCTCCACAATCACGAAGACGGAAAAGTTACCATATGTGTGATCATTCACTGACAATTATGCTAAACACGCTTTGATTGGTAAATATTTTTTGACTGTTCACGGCAATGAGCTTTAATTTGGGACCTTTTGGCTTTATCTTTTAAAAGACAAGGATTCTTTCTTAAATATGAAGGACAAAGACTGTGTGAACTTGGACTAAATGTCCCTTACAAATGATCTCCGGAGTTCTTTCGCGTTCACAGTAAAGCTCTACTTTGCTGATTTGTTTTTCCTTACCTCTACTCTGGCCACAGTTTGCATCTTTTCAATAACGTCCGCCTTCTCATCTGCGGGAAAGATGTTTGGAACATCACCAGTATTCAGAATCATATTGATATCCTCCACAAATGACTCTTCCTTAATTTGATTGTCACTGAACAGGAACACTGTCTGCTTTCCGTCCACCCCGGCTTTGATCAGCATCTGCAAGAAAGTGGGAAGTTATTCAACCGTCAAAAATAAGTGTCATTTAATCGATTCTCTCGACGACTAACGAAAAAAAAAAACCGACTACTACTGAAGGAAGACACTGTTGGATAGGGGAGACCGTACTAGTTTGGAAGCCCAAGGTTCAAACTTCTTCACAATGGTAAGAATTGCTTTTCAGTGAATAATACTTGAGTGGAACCGAAAAATCATTTCTGCTACCTTTTTGACGTCCTCTCTCCATTCATTCTTCGTGTAGTTTCTAGTTATCTCAATTTGGAAAAGATCATAGTCCGCCATGAATGTAGCCAAACGGGTTGCACTTTGACGACCACTTCCGCCAATACCTGAAAAACAGCGACACTTACAAGATCATTACAAATATAAGAAAACAAAGCACTTTCTGCTTTACTCATTGAATATCAAGCGCGTGAGAAGATGCCTCTTTATGTTTGGTTTTCGTTACTTTTCCGTTGTTTTCCAAGACTTCTTATTCTTGGTTACGCTTCTCTCTGTTAACTCTTACACTCTTATGAGTGACCAAGGCAGAATTTCTCCTTACAATATCAATACAACATCAAGCAGACAAGTGATGAGAATAAAGAAAGATAACAATTAAAGGATTACTAGTTGATCCAATACCAAATTCTCCAAACTAACATCATAAGGTTTGTATGGCAGACAGTAAGGAGAATTACTAATGAGATCTTGGGAGCGAAAGGGGCAAGGCGATTGGTCAGAAGGAACTGCTTTAGTTTATTGGTACAGTTATTACTTTCAGGTACAACAATTTTGAGCATCAAGAGTACTGAGAGCATTGCAATGAATTTGCTTCAATTTGCTGCGTAACTGGCCTTGAAAACGCGCGCCACGGCACCTTCCCAACTAATTCAAAGATACATCTTTGAATTCTCCGCCCGTCTAGCAGTTTGCTTGTTTTCGCGTGAATTTATGTGAGTGTGTTATCTACTTTCGTGACTATTTTTGTTTGCTTTTACAAAATTTAATTGAAAAAAAAAAAAAAAAAAACACTCGGTTTCACTGAGATCTGTGTCACAACTGTCCAACTGCTTACCGACGAGTAGACAGTGTCCATTGTCTTGTTTCAATACGCGAGCTACTCGCGAGATGTGCTCAATGGCGAACTTGAACATCACAAGAGACATCGGCGTCTTGCTCATCTGATTAAACTCATCTAGGTATCTAGAATCATACAAGAAGCGCGCGTCAAGGAGGCTCTACAGAAACAAACCTTCAAAAGGTAGAACACGACCACAAATTGAAAAAAATAGGCTGAGGAAAGCCTCTTTACATTATCTATGAGGATCAAAACCGATTGTTCAAGGCCTTCGCGGTAATAAAGTGAGTAACAAATGTTCGCATACCCTTCCATTTGTTGAGTTAACAGTGTTAAATCGGTGACTTCATCATAGATTCGTTCAGCGCTATCGGGGACCATGTAGTCACCAAAAAATAAACTCCTGAAAAAACCAACAGCATAACACAATAAACATACAACACCTTATGGCATAAGTGGAAATTTTGCGAGAGTTTCGTTTTAAAGGAGTTTTACTTTGTGCATCGACGAGAGTCTTTTCTTCAGGGGAGGGAGCAAACTTTGATGGCCCAAGATCAAGATAATTTCTGCTAAGAACTTATTTTTGCAAAAGCAATGCAAGATTGTACTAGTTTTACCCCACTTTGCGTTGTCAAAACCTACCACGACTTGGTCACCCGAGTTTCAAGCAGTTTGCCGGTTGCTACTTCGAGTTCTCATTCGCTTCCAAAAGGGATTTATCTTATTCTGATTAATTACTATGATCATCTTGGTTTTGGTTCTACAAAATGTCATAAAATGACAAGAAATTAACCTGATATGATCATCCTTGAGTTTCTGTCCTGTTGGCACGATGTGGTCCAGTAAGCCATCCATGTCTTTCTTAAACTGCTGTTTAGTTGTCTCTTTCATCATCTCAAAGAACATCACTCGATCGTTGTTGTCGATTAGCCGATCGTAAAACACTCGGTACACTTCGTGGATCCACAGTCGAATCAACTTATCCCCCTCTTGAAGGTGTGTGGAGGGAACGAGGAGTACTCCAAACACGACGCGCGCGAAATCACGCAGGTTAAAGACATAGTGTGACTTGCTAGGGGTGGGAAGGAATTTCTCCACGACAGACTTGTATACCTGCATTGTTGCTTGAACAAGGATCTGCAAGAATCCCGAAGTATGTCATTCCTCAAATGTTAATCACAATTCGTAAAGAAATTGCATTACACTTAAACACTTCGATTCCATTCTCGCGCTGTTTCTCAAGTGTTAAAAAATTACCAACTACTGATCGGGAAATGAGCCCGCGGTTTCCCCCCTACGAAATATAAACACTCCTAATACCAGTTCGATATACAGAACAGCAGTGGAAGACCCACCTCGAATGTGTATCATTGCTAAATTTCAACATTACTAATTCATTTTTAGAATTTTCATCAAAGTGCATGCAAGGATACGCAATCCAGGGTAACATCGGCCTTACCTTTCCCAGTCTTCCGAAGGAAGAGTCAAATCCCTTAGCAAAGTGCCAGTCCACAATGGAGGTGAATATCTTAGTCATAGTGTTATCATCAAATGAGTCAATAGATATGATATTCATATGGCGTGTAAATCGATCAGAGATGTCATTACGGCCACCACCTGGAGGTCCCATTGCTGACACGAACAGCTGAAATAAACAAATAGGTTAGTCTTGAGAAGGTTTGTGTACTCTGTACTAGAATACGATGGAATACCGACAGACAACATGTAGACAAGGGCACTCGTTCCAAAGACCTAAGATGAAGAAGGATGGTATTGAAATCTTCTTTTTTTAGTTTGATCGTCGAATAAACATCAGAAGATGTTATTTATTTCTTATAAGTGGAACAAGGGAAAAAAAATTAGTCCCCAAGAGGGATCGAACCTTACACCATCATATTTCTGTCTTCGATGCTCTATTGCAGAGCTACAAAGAACTCATGAGCGAGCTAAGCAGTATTCCAGGTTCACATGTGACAAGCGCCCTGCGCACTCCTAGAATCAGCCAGCTATGTCGGCTAAAAGCGTCGTGTGTTAAACAGATAACAACAGGTGGTGATAGTTTTAGTTCGGTCGGAATAGACAAATATATTCTTTTTCTCCAAAAAACGACTGTAATACGAAATGTCAGACAAGGCACTATTTAAAAATACTCAACATGAGAATATCTTAACATATCGTAAAATTACTGTTTATTTTCCCAATAGAATTGTTTGTAGACTACAGACGCCTACCATATCCATAAGTTCCAATTTGGATGTATCCTTGCGGTCATACCAGTGAGAATGATTCTGCCACTGGGGGGCAAATCAACAAAATCAATTTTAAAACAAAGTACAAGGACAAGTACAAGCATACAACAAATAATTTTTATCATTTATTATCCTTCATTACCGTCGTTTTCAGCTGCCCTAACCGTTGCTATGGATTCGAAAGCAAGTTTCTGACATGTGCGTTTTTCCAACTCTTCGCTCCGACGAAGGGCTAACGCTCGAAACGTCAGCTTTTGTAATCGTTACGGTGGCCAATTTACCATTTCAACTTTGTTAATGTATCCAAATTCTTCCAACTCTGTCGCTAATTCTGTTCTCAGAGAAAACCTCACCTGTCTCAACAACTCAATGGGGGGCTGGGCACCATACTTCTCCTTAGACGGCATGTTGAGATCATCCACAAACACAACACATTTCTTACCAGGAGGTGGACCGTACACTCCCTTGCGACGCCTGCAATAAATCAACATACCGGAAGTTTACAAGTAGCCTGTCAGTTGGCACAATCGTAGCTCTGTTTTGCTTTCACTTTGAAGATTTGATTTAAGAAATATGCTCGTCATCAAGCTAATATCACGAAAAAAGGGTTAAAAATATGAAAAATACGAGCTATTAGCTGAAGGTAACAATAATGGCCAAAACTGATATTCTGTCAGAGAGGTAGAAGAACGTTTATGGCCAAATAAGAGAATTTTGAAGTTGACCAGTTTTACCTGTCTAGCTTAGCCATAATGATGTCCTGAGTTTGACCTGCACTGGTTCGCGCTGAGAAGTTTATGTTGATTGGAAGATACCTGAAACAAAGCAACAACTTATCGTAAATTTATCATAGCTTTATCCTTTTTTAGTTCAGACTTGTTCTTGACTTTAAACGTCAAACGGCTAGCCAACTCAGTTATGTCTTTAACGAAAATCGTGCGTCACTCAAACTAATTAAACAGCTGACATTAAATGGATAAGCTTTTTTTTTTTTGCTTACACACATGTAAGCTTTTTTTTTTGCTTACACACATGTAATGTTCAAAAGGTCACCGAGCGAGTGCTTACCGTCCACGCTCTACTTTAGTATTTAACATCTATTCATCATTTATCTCGCATATTTACCATTACAAGAAGAGATACAAAGTGCTATCTTTTGAATTTACCTCTCAAATTTTTAAATCAATAATTTTTTAAAGTAGCAGTGGAAGTTTCTTTCAGATACGATAATAACCGACACAACAACAGCCTACTTTTCTTTGGGCATCCTAACGATGTAGTTGTTAGTGATGGCGGACTTTCCTGTTCCCGTGGGACCAATAAACAGCAATGGCTTCCCATGAGTGAGGAAAGCTTCCAAGAAAAACATCTGCCGAGCAGTTTCATCTGTAGGAATCATCAGCTCGCTGACCTGTTCACCCAAAAAAAAAAGGTTAAAATATGCGTTTTCTTTCTCCATCCTTTCCCAGCCTGACCCTTTTTTGATATTTATCGCCTATCTGGTTTTTCTTTTTCGAACCCGGCAGACCATTACTTATGGTCCAATTCCCATTGGACAAAGTTTAATTTGAGTGTCACATTGGAAATGTCTTAATACTTACGTTGCCGAAGTAATTGGATATGTTAGACTGAGAAATCGAACTAATTTTCGAATTGGAAAATAAGCTTCTAAATAGCCTTTGACCCAAGTAAAGAAGTGAAGACCACTCAGATGAAAAACTGAGACCTTTTAAGCTTGTTTACGAAGGAAAGAAAAAGATTTCTTGTCCATGTATTGCTGGGCTTAAAGGTAATGTCTTCATGCGATGAGCAACAACATATAAACAGAGGCTTGTGTGACTGTAAGGAGGGCAAGTTACACCTCTCAGGAATAGCAAGAAGCGGTGGGAAAGACGCAGTGGACGATATACCTTTGCATCCTTTGGAATGGCAGTTTTAGCTTTGTCTACCCTTTCAATCCAGTTGTTCCACGAGCCACTGGCTTGTTTCACGAAATAAAAGTCGTAAACAGTTCCACGATCAGGAAACACATTTTGCTAAAAGAGTTAAAGAAATAATATTCAATCGATTTCACTTCATGAGTAAGTTCTGACCTAAAGAAGCGATCAGAAATACTGCTACACTTCCCTTCCCCACGAGAAAATAATCCATCACGGGTCACCCGCCTTCCC